TTTTTTTTTTAATATTTGCTCCCTTTTAAAATTAAAACTGCTTCTTTTGCTCTCTGCTTATTTAAAGGCCGTCACTCCCTCCATACAATTCCCAGGGATTCACCAAGGGCAGGGGGAAAAATACCGAGTTGAAAAGTATCGCTTAAAAAATAATTTAAAATATATATATTATTTGAATATGTAAAATTTATTTTCGTTTATTTTTGAAAACGTTTCCCGAGTTTGTCCGACTGATGTAAATCTCTAAATACCCTCGGGTTTCCTTCATGCTGAGATTGACAGATGGCGTAGGGCCATTCACGCGACGCATTCCGGTTGTGAATTCAGCAGTGTGGAAAGAGTTTTTTAAGATTTCTTCTGAAATCCTTTCTCGAGATCTCTGATGTGAGACTTTGGGTGAGCAGTGAGGCAGCTACATAGCCTTTTGAAGGTCGAAAACTTGTCATTAAATACATTTATAAGTAGTTTCGTTTACAAACTTAGCTGGCATTCACTAAAAAGGGGGAAAACGAGGCAGAGAGGTCCCAAGTCCTCAGCGCAAAATAATAATAATAATAATAATAATAATAATCGTACTCCATGCATACCATACATATCCATAACCTAGTCCCTTGAATTAAAAACATGCCTGAAATGGTTGTGAGGTTCGTAAGTGGAATCGCCACCATCATACCAACCGTCCGCTTCAATGACGTTGGAGAAACCAGGTTTACTGCTGGCTCGGTGGTCCCTCGCCACTTGCGTCTCTTCCCCTTTGTGCGGGAGAGTTCAAGTGCGACCCTGAGGCCTGTTGCTGTTGGCCATTACTTTTGTGGATGGTGTTGCTCTCTTGAAATGCTGTCGCAGTGTTGTTGCCACTGCTACTGTGGGGTAAAGGAAGGGGGTTAGAAGGGAAATGTGAATAGAGGGGCGCCGGGGGAGTGGCGTGGTGAATTGGGTTGGGGATGGGAATGGAGATCGGGCATCGGCATGGCATCGGCATCGGCGTAGAAGGGCTAATAGCGATGTTGTCGTGGGATTGGGATTGGAGCTGGAACTGGAACTGGAATTGGGGTGCCTGCTGCTGAAGCGGATGCAAATTTTGGTACGGGTTCGTTGTCGGGGGAGGTTCTGCGCTTTCCAGTTTATTTGTTGGAAGGTGTTAAAAATGAGGTAATTTTGATTTTAATGGCGTTCTGTTCTGCTCTGAGTTCGGTTTGGTTGTCGATTATCCCTTTCATGCATTCGGATCGAACTCACCTATAGCATAGACAGGATCGCTTAGAGATAATGAACCCAGGTAGCTTGCGATCTCGAAGGCCTGCATACCAACGCGAGCCACGGCGCCGACGTCTGCGAGCGTCGATGTCATATCTGCCGACGAATCTGCATGTATATACATGGGGCCAGCCCTTGTCAAATCATTCTTGAAATCTGTTTTCATCTCCTGAATCATCTCATCCAGCATCGCCTCCGCTGTAGTATTCATTTTCTTTCTAGTATCTTCGTCGCTAGAAGAAATATCAGGGATCCGCGTCGCAGTTTCGTGTCGCGAAGGCTAGATTCATCAGATAGTATTTCTCCCTTTAGACAATCGCCTCTAACCACCCTTAGCGTATCCTTAAGGAGGATAAGACCGTATAAACGGTGAAGCACTTTCTCTCGCACCGTAAGTCTGTTTTTCGGGGACTGTGGAGGCATTGAAAAGTCAGTTTGATGCAGTGGATAAAATAAAGCAATGTAATCCCCGATCGTTAATGGCAACTGATAACATATCATAGGCAAATTTACTTACGAAAAGGAAATGTAGACAGATGGGAAGGCGGTTTGTCAACGTCAATCACAGGGAAAACGAGTTGGCGTTCTTCACATAGCCCATCAGTTCAACTGACAGGTTAGAAGCATGTCATCAAGCCGATATCACGACTGCTGCAGGAAGCACCAAGCTGAACAGTCCGATCCCTTCTTGCATTCACGGATGACAACATGTGGAGCAAATAATGGACCTCCACATTTCTCCATTCCGTTCTCCCTCCCTCCGCTTTCCCCCCTCCTGGCGGTTGCCTCCATGCATTGCCATTGAAAGCACTAAAGCACATGGATCCATGGATGGGCGCAATTCCTCGGAGCAATAACAAAAAAAACGGCCTTTCGTGTCACTGCGTGAAGCATACTAGACGTTGGGAGAAGATCCACATCAGCTTGTATTCGCCTAAATCGGACGTCGAATTTCCTCTTGTTGAAGGCCCTGCTCCTCCGTCCCTGCGATCTCATTTCAGCACTATATAAATGAAAATGAATATAAATCAAGTCAATTTGAGACGAACCTCCTCGGTAATCTGGACGAGGAAGGTCTGTATCTTCCATAGCATGCTCATTATAACAATGAATTGTTTGGAGCAAAGATGGCCTCTTGAGGCGGACATAAAGCGTCGGTTACGGATGTTTTTCTGGAGGCCTCCAGATGATTGGACAATATTTTAAGCCACCCGCTGTCAACCAAAAGAACGTAGCGGGGAATTGCATTCCTGTCGCACGTGGCGAAGTTTATGGATCCTAACTACGTCCAAGAAGCAGATATGGAATTTGTGGAGGCTGCGGTATATGTATATATCCACTCCCAGACATATGCACAATCCCTGCAATCTACCGGCAAACGATGATGCACGGTGCTGGAGCGACTAACCAGAGACGCAGGTAGCAATTTCTTTCTGTGCTAGTATTTTATTCGTAACAACTTTGTTGTTGAGAGGCTTCCTTAGGGAGTAAAATGCTCAGTAAATTTTTGGCTAATTGGGCGATTGACTCGATGAAACACGCGGATTGTCCTATTCGCTGTAATATAACATTTTCAAGAGCAGTTCAACTTGTGCACTTTAGCTGACGGGACAGCATGAATTCACTGGACTGAAACTGGGCTTGAATTAAAGTCAACCCGATTTGTTCAAAGTGTTCTCAAGAGAGCGTAACTATCACATCAAATTCCTGATGTCCCTGAGACTGGTCTAAGAGACGATGATTATTCAAGGATAAAAATCGGAGTTACCATTTCTCCATTATTGCACAGCATTCAATTATTGGCTTCCCACACTGTATTATTCAACAAGTCTTTGATTCGAGGCAGTGATGCCTAACTGAGATTTGATGGGGAAAGTTTCGATCGCGTTGCCCTCAAACTGCCCAAGGCTTTTGAAAACATTCTTCGAACAAAGGATAACAGTGTAATGGATTTGAAACAATTCAGAAGTGCATCACGAAGAGAACCCTTCCTCTGAAAGTCCAGGACTTGAAATAGTGCCGACGGGTCGCTGAGCACTTCTCAGCTAAAATAATCTCAATTAACAAGATCTACCCTCTGCCTTCCTAATTCAGTTGGCAGATTCTAACATTCAAATAAGGTTTTAAGCTTAAACGAATAGCCGCGATCTTACAACCAATAAAAAATTCCCTGTGCAAGCGCTTACTCAGAACTTACGCGCTAATCTAGTTATAACTTATTCAAACGTCCATCTACTACCCAGGGCACCGTTACGGGTGCGCCTTTTCTAAGGGACCGCATCCCCTCACTTTCAGGTCCGAATTACTCATGGACTTCCCGAAGCAGGCCATCTTACGATACAGTTCTTTCTTTCTTTTTGTGGAATGTTTTCGATTTGATCCATTAGCTACATGATACGGCTCCGCTTCAGCGGCATATGAGATATTTACCCTTGGGAAAATAAAGATTCAAAAAGCCATGAAGACTTGTTCTCAGATTCCTGCTGCAGCTGTCTTATAGTAACTATTTGAGGCATATTAATAATCTTTGGGTAGAAGTCGGTTTGGTAAGCTCCTGCTCTTCTTCATTTGGCTTTTACCTTGCATTTTCTCTTATCCGAAAAACGACACAGACTAATAATGATCTATGGAGCTGTCCTTCGTCGTCCAGGTGTGTGCTAGAAGTATATGGGATACAGGTGCATTTGAACAATCTATGGGCTATGCTGCACCCTTGCACCCCTTTTGGGGGTGGAAATTTGGGAGACGGACTCATCTCCGCCGTATACTAGCAGCAGGATAGATCTAATTCAAGGGTCTGACGATCTAGTTATCTAATCGGCTCAATGGCCCGTACTCTCTGCATTTTACTATATCCAACATAGAAGTTGAAATTTTCCTATACTAGGAAACGGTGCTTTGAGGTGCAAACAATAATCTGTCAACATCATTAGCAACCGATATCCGATCCTACGGGTCAACCTGGCCTCCTTGTGAGTGGGCTCTGTAAAGTCTTTCAGAAGGCTGAACACCTTTTAAACCAGGAGTTCTTTCGCATAAGATGTGGCCGGTTCGCTTGGAAAATGGCAACCACACACCATAGATAATTCTACAGCAGGTATAGACGGTTTTCAGTAATGTAATAAATCTATCAATAGCTAAATATATCCGACTATCAGAGGAAGCAAAGCGGCCATAGCAATCCTAGAACAAAAATGAGAAGAAAAACTTAAGAAATGACAAATTCTGCAGGTAAATGACTAATAAAACAAATAAGAAAACAGAAGAAGCTCTTTTCATTTTTCAATCGTTTCAAAGAACAAACAAGAATTGCGGCAGGAAAGCAACGAGAGGAGTAAATCAAAATCGATCTCATACCTCACTTTTTCACTGGAAAAAAATTAAAAAAAAAAAAAATTCAAAATTAACTTGAAACTGAAAACAAAGAAATTGAATACAGAATTAAGCGCTAAGCTTCATATACCTATTGCTGTGTTTAGTTGTGATAGATGATGGAGAAAACAAAAATAACATTCCAACCTCTAGAAAATAGACAGAATAAAAAAACAAGAGTATACCAATTCAAGAAACTCGCTCAAAATGTAGTGAAAAATAAATCATAGAAGACACATCATAATCTGATTAGGCAGTATGTTAAAAGAGCAAAAAGTGAAGAAAACTCCCGTGAATGATGGATTAGAGATGTAATTTTTCACAGTTGTCCGGAAAGGACGGCTTCGGTTGCTATTGAAAATTCGAAGATGGTTAGAGACAGAGAAATGTAGTAGAACACATAACAATTTCATATTTAGGAAGGTGAATGATAGAAGAACTTACCAGAGTTGATATACTGCCTCTTGGCATCGAGATTAATATTAAACCTCCGCTCCAGCTCAGCCTTGATACTCTTCTTCGTAACAGTCATTAAATCCGCCGTACGTAAAATATCACGGATCTCCGCAAGTAGGGAGTCATCACTCGGGAGGCCCATGAGATCCACCATCTCCATCTCAGGGCCATTGCCCAACGTGTCAGAAGGAGCCAAGGACATGCGTGAGGTGACAAACCGGTTAAGTTCGATTTGAGAAGCAGGCCGTGAGGCCGGGAAACCGTATTCAGATGCGGCTGGGTGATAGGATCGGGTGCCATAGGACACGCCGGAGACTTCGGAGCGATCGTCTTGTTGGGTTTGTGCTTCCCAGAGCTCAACTTGGTACTCTTCCCACTTCTTCTTTGGGATCGATGCAGGATCAAATTTGCCCTCGTCCGAGATAACAATCTTGCGACCCTTCTCTCCTGTGACGATACGGGTGTTACCCCATGAGAAATCGTCCATGTGCCAAAAGGAATAGAGAGGGAGGCCCATTGAGAAGACTGGCATAGCGAGGATATAAATGATCATCCAGCCAACCATTTCCCATTTGCGTCTAAGGATGAAAATAACGGCCTGTAGACCATAGATTGCTCCAAGCAAAATAAATGCGGTTATCGGGATGAGGGATGGGTTGACGGCGATGAGAACGATGAGGTATACGACATATGCAACTGTCACTGGCTGGATAACGGTACTTAAAAGATCAACGAAAACGACGAATCTCATGCTAAAGCAGCAGAAACCACATAGTTGCTGGAGAGGGATAAGCTCGATAAGATTGTGTACAGTAGAGTTAATCCATCTTCGGCGCTGAGACATGAAGACTGCCCAACTGTCAGGTGCGATGGTCCAGGCATGGGCATTAAAAATGTATTTCGTCTTGTACTTCGGGTGGTGCTTCAAAAGGAGTGTAGTGAGATAACGATCTTCACCCAAGTGGAGCAGATTTTTCATGTGGAGGGTGTCGACGCGGATCTCAGAATAAGCTTCCACGACCTCTCGGCTAACGAATAGGGGTTTTCCAGTGTCAACTGACCGAATACGGTACATAGTAAAGCAACCAGGCAAACACGTCACGGACCCGAAGAGACTCTCGAACGCTTTGGTCAAATTATGAGATATGTAGTATTCGTAAACCTGAATCATCGTTATCATGGAGGACTTGGCATTGGTGAGACCTGTTTCTCCGCAAAGACCGATAATGCGCGTATCGTGTAGGAAGGCTGCGACCATTCGAGTTGCAGCGTCCTGGGCGACTACGGTATCTGCGTCTACTTGTAGTATGAACTCGTAGAATGTGGGATTGACTCCAATGATGTTACGGATCTGATGATGTATTTCCAGTTCAAGTGGGCTCATGGGAAGATTGTAATGAACCCGGTTTAAGAAACGCATGAGAAGCATTTGCGAATCTCGCTTTCCACGGTTTCCAGGACGAGAGACCTCCGAAGGTTTGCCCACCTTGACAACGACCAAGAAAGGCACGATATGGCCTTGGACTTCATATAATCCAGAGTATACTTTACCCATATTGTGCTGCTTCATACCTTCTCCCAAACTTTCAAAGCTCAAAGGTTCCGGGTCAACAGTATCAGAAACTCCAAGGATGTCCAGGACAATCCGGGGAGTGGGCCGATCATTCCCTTGACCAATAATCATACCATCGCAAATAACAACCAGGAGTTTGCGCTTATCATCATATCTCATTCGAGCCATTGAGTCTATAGCTCGACGCAGAGACTCTTCATCTTCAGTGTACGCCGGCACTTGACATATGATGAATTTATCAAGATTTTCCGGTAGATTTTTTCTTCCGAATTGCAATGCGGCAAAGAACTTGAAGCCGATGATTGTGACCAAGAGAATTGATACGGCGAGAACAAAATACTGAGAGAATTGACACTGAATCGAGCTTCGAGTGTCAAGCTTGCCAACCTGAAACAAATTGGTCAAGCAGGCTCTCATGGTGCTTTCATTATCTCCCAGAGGAAGCCGTCTGAATAACTCTGAGATATCCTGTCCAGGTCTCTGTTGAAATAAGTCGACAACCAAGGGATCCATGAAGTTGACGTTGACATTCTCGGGTAGATCCTCACCAGGTGGTGCCTTAAGTCGACGGCCTCCGATGATATAATTTGTCAAATCATACACATACCCGTCAAGGACCGCAAGGGATTGATCTTTATCAGCGAGGGTCTTCAGGTATCTTGGAGAGTACCCGACATATCCTTTCCTGTAGTTCATCCTCAACATATTCATTTTATCAGAATACCAACGTGGTCGGGAATCATTGGTGAAAGCTCGGAAATCATGGTATTGAGCGTTCGGGTCATTGTCTCGCGAAACAGTCACAGAGCCGGTTCTATTGGGAGATGTAAAGTCAAGGAGGACGGAAGGATCAATGCTACCATCAACGCCTTTGCAAAGTTCGCTAACTTGCACAGGGAAAAGCTTCGTAGCATCCATGCCTGCATACTTCCTCAACGCTTCCCGAGGAACAATTTTCGGATAGTGGGAGGGTATGTAAGCGCCCAGATCGAACACCTCGCCCCGAATGGCTATATAGGCTTGATTGTTACCCTTTCCGTCGTGGGAGGAAAGTTCACTAGGTGAAAAGACGTGTTGTTTCGGGCAAAGTATTCGGGGGAAGACGACAATGAAAAAGACGGCGAGCCCACAGCTGAACCAAATGATGAGGTTAATCGCAAATTTTTCTCGCCACGCAACTCGGACATCTTTCCGCTTCATCCGTCCTATGAATCTAATGATAAAATCAGGAATGTAGAAAGTAAGTATATAAACGACGGCTAACCACCGTTTGCGGCTGCCAGAAACGACAACATCGTCGACTTCTTCCATTTTCCTCTCGTTTCCCTTCTCAGCCATTTGCTCTCGAGTCTCCAAGTTCTTGAACATGTCGCCGGAGTTGAAGGCGGATGCCCCCGCATCGGAACGAGAGTCGATTTCACGAGCGCTATAGAAACCCTGCTTGGTTTCGTCTCCATATATAAAGGCCCCAGGAGACAGGTCGGGGGAATTAAGGAGACGAACTTTCGAGTCTCCATATGGCATTTTCGTGCCAACTCCAAGCATTCCATCTCCGTCATCCATTCCATCTCCGCTGTAGCTAGGGACAACTCGTTCGCCGACCCCTGCAATATCTGCCCAGCATCTCTCACTCAAGAATACTCCAGTGCTTCCAACCCGAGCTTCATTTGCAGGCCACCTCCTCTCATCAACCACCAACTGACATTTTTCCTTATCGCTCCCAACAATGACCGATTCCGTATCTGACAATCCAATGAATTCACTAAAGGGAAGAAACACGGTAAAATCTGTATTACGAAGCCGTTGACTGATTTCTGCAATACCAAGTGTTTGCACTTGGGTTCGAACGCATTTACTATCGAATTGATTTGCAATTCGACGATCGTTGGGCTTCAGGCAGAACACGAAGTAGGGATTCACGTTGGTTGCGGTCAGGGATTTGTTGATGATGTTCAAAGATGCGAGGAATTGGGCAGCAGCACCCTGATTAGGACCATATGCGGGGCTTCCTTTCTTCTGCCTTTTAGATCCAGAAGCAGAACCACCACTACCAGAAATATCGTCATCATCATTTTCCTCCTGAGCCGCGAGTGCTTTAACTCGGGCAGGTCCATCTATTTTGCGTCTTGCCATACTTGGCATTCTAAGTGGCTTTGACATAACCTGGGCTTGCATGATGGCCGATTTTTCCTGAGGATGGCGCACGGTTTGGAGAGCTTCCTGGCCAAATAGTTCCCGCACGAAAGAACTCCAGGTAGAATTGATGAGGTTCATTAAATCGCCAGAAACCATGTCACCATTTTCCTCAACCAGGCCTTGGATAGGATAATCAACTTCTCCTGCAAAATGCCGAACTGTGAAAGTGGCAGCCAGATTCTTCGAAGCGAAATTACTGCCAGGAAGGGTAGCCGTGGCACTCCCGACAGAAATTGCTGGATTTTTGTTTTCAAATCTCTTCCTCAAGGCTTCGAGCAGTTGGGTATCCGTCCGTCCCCGTCTTGTTTGATCATCCAGGATTGCCAGAAGCCCATTGCCCTGTTTCAGGAGACATTTGACGGCATCTGAGTTGTCAAAATAGCTAGTTGCAGGGACGCTGACCTCTTCAGTTTCAAGCAATTCTGCTTTGCGGTCGAAAAAGCTCTGCAGACAGTAGTTGTAAAGTGACTCTGTAGCGGCATTATTCAATAGTTGATCCAAAGTTGACCCGGTGACAGCTGATTGGGCAAAGCCCGGGAAATCAATGATGGAGACGGTATTGGCAACTGAATCTTCTGCAGCACATATACGCTGATTGATGTTCTCCATCACATAGGCAACCAGAAGAGCATAGAGAGTTCGAGCAAGGTCATCAGCGTTATCCCGCGCGCCTTTGGGGTCCAGCATGACAGTGACACGTTCACGATGGATAGTTTTCGTCTTGTAGCCTAGGCTTGTCTCGAGCTCAGCCACACTCAATCCAAGGAATGCCGCCACGTTTCCCAAAACGTCCTTGTTCTTCACTATGGTAACAATCTCACCACCCTCGTGTGAATATCCACCACTTTCCTCCGCGCTTGTCAGAGTGGCTTGACCGGTAGTAAACTCCAGCTGCCCAATGTGTAGGATACAAGCAAGAATCTGGCAGATCTCCGCAATTTCACTTCGAGGGAACTGTAATTTGCGAAGAGCATTTTTGAATTGTTGGAAACCTTCAGCGTCATTGATCCCGACCTTCAGCTGCGTTGGATGTCCAAGATACCGCCATCTCTTATGGGAGATTGTGCCAGATGACCGGTTGCCAGATCCGCCGGAGCGGATATCAATCGAGTGGTCCAATCCCAGATGTGCTTTCTCAGCAGCAGTAGTTCCGGCGAGGAGGTAGTAGAGCACATGGAAACTACGTTCACCTGTGGGAACTGATGCAATGCGGCTTCTTTCCAGCCGATAGTCCAAAATTTTACCGCCGATCAACGTTGGATTGATGGTCGACGAAGCATCATATTGAAGCTCGAAGAACAAGCCAGCTTTTGAAGCAATCGGAGTGGTGATAGATTTCGTGGTTGTCAAAGTATCGAAAACAAATGCAGCAAGTGAGAGTTTAGCTGAGAGTGGAGTCGATGATAAGGAGAGGAAGGAAGAAAGAAGATGGGAGCGAACGGTTGTCTTTCCAGAACCCGATTCTCCCCTGAAGTTTATGTAAAATTAGCATTTCTGGAGTGGGGTGGTGTTTCAAGGATGCTTGCAGTGTGATTGCAACAAGTAAGGACTCACAGGAAGATGATGGCCTGATTTTCACCTCTTCCACCCAAACGAGCCCAAGCACGTCTCGCCAAATCATCTGCTTCCCCCATCGCACTCCCTTCTTTTTGCCCATCTGGTCCTCTGGTTGAAGATGTGTAGGTGTTGAGGCATATCAGCCCTTGAGAAGATAGCCGCGCTGTAGGTAAAGACACATAGAATCTAAAATTGCGGCAAAAAAAAGTGTTAAAAATTGTCACGAGAATCAAAAGTTGAGGAATATATATAGAAGTAATTTTTTACCTGCTAGCCAGATGAGCCGTGAGGTGGGTGTCCGATTGAAGGTAGGCAGGAAGCGAAGGCAGCGAGGACTGTGCATGGGAGGGGATAGTCCCCGTCAACGAATTGAGGGTCATGGCGAAAAGACCGAATATCAGGCGCGAAGGCCGTCGTCGGACTTGGAACGAAAGACGTCTAACCCGGCAGCAATAACGACTGTATACGAGTGACTGTCCAGGCTAGAAAAGAGGTACAATTTCTCTCTTAATTATTCGAGCCGTATTCAGACATTTGAAGGTTGTTGTTTAAGACAACACGAGAGGATCCGCCAACTGGGAAACCCGGCAACAGCTCAATGAACGGGTTTCTCGAGAAATTAAGCAAAGATTAAGATGCTCTTGTCAGCTTGGTAAAGAATGGACAGAGGAAGCACGACGAAGACCGAGAAACGAGAATTCTCCCGAGCGAGGGACTGTTTCGATACGGACGTAGAGCGGATGGATGGGCTTCCAGGAGAAGGAAGGCAAGAGCCCAAAAATGCAAGACAATATTCAATAATAAAGAAAACGAGTGATACCGAGGCTGCCCCAGTATGCTCAGATGAGAGTCTGGAATAAAATAATTAAAAAAAAACAAAAACAAAATAAAGAAAGTGAGAGAACGAACGAAACGAAACGAAATCGGATCGAGGAACCAAGTGAGTGAATGGTTGACTGGGGACGCGGAAGACCAGGGACAGGGCAGAAACAAGACACCGCCCGAAAGGGTAAGTTGTAAACTAACCCTGTATTGTGGAGTAATCTATACTGTATCGTATGTATGTATGTATGTATGTATGTATGTATGTATATATATACGCAATGCCCTTGTCACGTTACATACAGAACAGCCCCAGGTTCCTCAACAGCCCTTTTCGGTGCACGGGGAAAAAAGAATCATCAAGTAATATATATATACACTGTAAACAACCACAGCCTTAATGATAACCAGGATAGGTTCTGACTCGCAGTAGAACACCCTCTTCGCCAGGCCAAAGAACAGCCTGGAGTCATCCGCCAAGGCAAGATTTTCCTCTAACAGCAGGGCCAAGGATGATGAGGGATGGGTTGTTCGTGATCCGAGACAAGTGGCAGCCCCAGTCTATTTTTGGGCCCGTCTAGCCGGGATACTTGTGGGCGGCACCAATCTTCAGCAGGGAAAACCAGTAACGTCTCGGTGACAAACGATAGATGATACTTCTTTACCAGGGGACATAGGTAAAGAAGCAATTCCAGGTCCCGGGGGTTGGGGGGGAAGGTGAGTACCTACAGGGGCAATTATCTACAACATACTGGGATTTATTTCCATTGAAGTTCTTTTTTCATTCTTTTGGGTCCGGGAAGTATTATTGCTGATCATTGTTGCCAGCTCTTGAAACACAGCATACACAACATACCAACTGTTTTTTAAAGCATGCGTACAAGTGGTTACTGGGCGTGCGAGCGGCAACGACGACGACGACGACGACGATGATGATGATGATGATGATGATGATGATGATGATGCTGGCCCAATGGGGGCGGGGCGTGGTGTGTCATGGCGCAGCCGATTAACTACGACTCCCCTTGCCACTTCGCCGAAACCATTCCATGGTGGGGCTCTAACTGAGACTTTTACCACATGTTCCCCCGACACCGCCCAGACTGATTCCTAGTAATAATAGCATTTTCCGGGACCATGAGAGGGAGGGTCCAGGGGCCCACGGGTTCTTTCGGTCCTTCCACAGCCCGAAAGGGCTTCGAAGCTGGCAAAACGGCGAAAAAGAACCTGTAGAAGCCGAAGGAACCCTGTATTGGAGATGTGGATGAGAGAAATTGATGATGATAGCAGACGCTCTCTCATTTTACCATATATACATACATACATTTACATATCCGGCAGAGCGCTTCGTGTGTCTTACCAACGTCAAGAGATGAGACGGTAGAACGGTGATAATTATTAGTTGGCGGTGGATCTTGCTTGCAACTGCCCTGTTTCAGAGACAAGTCCTTGATCTGCTTGATGGGAGTGGTGGAATTTTACAGACAGGACCCGAACTATTCATGACGGCAGACAGAGTTTAAGCATCAGAACTGTATTACTAACAACCTGACGCCCAAGGAAGAGTCTTGGGGACGTTTCCAGAGTTTGTCCGTCTGTCCAGTGTCAGTGTCATAGATCTTCAGGCTCATCTTTGAATGCTCCATATTTCGACCCGGTATGGGCGTGCGGGAGACAGTTGATAATAATAATAATAATAATAATAATAATAATAATCACAGCTTAAAAGGGTGGTGGTCGCGGTATACCGTCCGCTGCCGGGATAACTGAGGGTTTGTTGCGAAGTTAAAAACAATATCGGGCAAATACCTGGAGGGAGGCGGCATCCTGTACTTATTATATATATATATATACATACTTACACTTGTACCCATGGATTGGAATTGCGAGATCTTCGTCTGCTTCTCTTTCCAGAAGCAGGGGGAAGCCGTAACTTACTCGCCGCCAAAGATGGAGGGAAACCGTACGAGCTGCGTAATCTGGAACTCTTCTTCCTCCGTACCTTCTGTATGGTACCATAATACATGCTGGATGTGAAATACCGATTACAGAGCGTGGCCCCCCAACCGACGATCCAGCAATAATAATAATAATGCCTAATTATCAGCACGAAAGATTTCCCCCCTTCCTGTAGCTGTAACTGCTGGACTGGATTTCAGAGGTTGAACCAATTGCTAGAGACCCAGTCCCAAAACAAGCCGGCGATGGAAGACCGGGCCAACAAGAACTGGAACGCTATACCGCAAAGCAGGAGTGCTGATTGGCTGTAGGTTGATCCATTTCAATAAAGACACACCGGGGCCTTGGGGGGTGTGTATGTTGTGTTTACGCCCGTTCTCTCCCCAAGCGTTCATTGGTTTATTACGACTCGGTAGCCGTGGGAATAAGATTCCAACAAAGCAGCCAAACTGCGATGAAAAGAGAGAGAGAGAGAGAAAGAGAGAGAGAGAGAGAATGCTGGAAGAAACAAGGGTCAGACACAGGACAAGCCCATTCGCGGGATGCGGGGGTTTTAACATATTTGTCCCAGTTACAGCCCAGCCTGGTTAAACCACTCTTTGTTCCCACAGATTCACTTGATTCCTGCTTGGCTGGGGGAGGCCCAACAGAATCATTTGATGTTGATCCCATGTTCTCCAGAGCATGTGGTGGAAGTATCCATGGGTGGGTTGTAACTATATTTATTTTACTTTAGTTTACACTCTGTAACTAGAAGTATGTTTGTTTGGCGGGTACCAAGCCGTTGTTTACAGAACCGCCCTGTCTCTGGACGCGTACCGTACAGTACCATACACAGAGCATTTGATGTATACTGTTGTTACTTTACTGCACCCAACCTTACCCTTCACTTCTCTTCCCTTCAGTTCAGTTTGCTCCCACCAACCTTACCCGACCGCATCAATCTCCGAGGCCCCTCCTCCTTGGTCTCTCTTTTTCTACGGTTCGCTATTCTGGTCTTTTCATTTTGCTGTGCTCGCGAGGAGGTGCTCATCACACATTCGTTTGGGCGTGACCGTCCTTCGTCTCTCACTATTGTTTACACCCGGTTCCCCCATCGCCATCTAATCCTTGTTTCGCACCGTGACGCTCAATTTGTTCAACCAACCAACCCAAACCGGCCGAGGAGATTGTAAAACGGGGTTCCGGATCTCTCACGCAAGTCGGGTTGCCTTCGTCTTTGCTAGGGAAACATAACATCAACACCCCCCTTTTCCCCTCGCGAGGGCTAAAAGGCATACCGGATCCAAGTGTTGAATGGGGCCGGATAAAGTATACCTATTCTCACCTGTTCGCGCCGTCCGCAAGTGCTTCCTTTGGTAATCCGCCATATCTTTGTGCTGTATAAGATACGAATCCACGAAGCTATCATGGCGAACCGGTACTCTGTGTACTCGGCGACGTCTTCTGCTGTCCCTGTTCCTCGTCCAGCTGGACAACGGGCTACGCAGGTGTCTACAACCACGTTGCTCAATGCTCTTCATACCATTTACACATCCGGGCAACCATATCAACTCGACTCGGGCACGAGCGTAACAGTGAACACATGGCTTACTGCTGCAAGTCCTGGACCTAATGGCGAAGTGGGAGGAACTGTCGATGCAGACCTCGCAAGACGAGCGTGGGAGCATGCACGAAGAAGAGCGGAAGATGGGTGCATTGTGTTATGGTTTGACACCCCCCCCCCCCCTACCCCTTCTGCCAAATGGATGCCATTCCCTCTCCATGAATTCATGCTGATTATTGATTTTTGCCCAGTTCATCTCACCAATCTACACCATCTCTACTTGCTCCATTCCTGGGATCTCTACCGTTGTCCACTCCTTCGATAACATACACAGCACTCTCTGTCATTAAACCATTCGTTTCTCAGGTTACACCTGATAACCCGTCCCATTTTCGATTTTCTGCACTCGCTGTGTCTTATACTCTCACTCTCACGGGCAATGTAACTGCGGCATCGTTGGCTCTATCCACGGCTGGCCTTGATGTCACTCGTGGTCTCCTTAATATCCCTGCTGAGGCTGGCTATCGTGCTTTCGATGTCTTCTACTACCTTCTTACGTCCGCTTCAACACCAGCTGAGAGAGAGTTTCTCAGTCTCAAGGACACATCGGCATACGCCCTCTTGAGTAAATCTAACACTTTTAATCCACCAGCATATCTACCAACGGCTGACGATGCGGCTTCTGCTGAGGATTTCAGAGCTTCCCTCAAGGCTATTGGCATCAAGGGCGTTGCACATAGAAGTCTGATCTCCGTTCTGGCCGCTCTACTAAAACTTGGGAATTCTCTAGGGCTTCTTGTCGACCAGGAGGAACTTGAGGAAATTTGTGAAGATGTCGGAGGACTTCTGAACGTTGATCCAGAAGTACTTTTACACAAATGCTCTACCGATGACCGTGCCGTTTTGATCGCTGGGATCTACGAAGCATTGGTTGATTGGGTTATATCCAAGGCTAATGAAGCCATCTCTACGGAGCTTCAAAATACTGAAGACAGCGGATCCAGCGATGGTGGACGTGGTGGACAGTTCGAGGGTGAGACGAGTGACACCGTCAGCATCACAGTCGTCGAGGTTCCGGATCCTGTTTTGGGAAAAGCCGTCGCTCTCAGGGGTGTTTTTGACGATTCCCTTGGCATTAATGCTGAAATGAAGGAGGATGGAATCGAAGTTGTTGCACCGGGACATTCGGTGATTAAGGAAATGAATAGCGCAGTAGCTGAAGTTGAGGCCGACATGGGCGTTGCTGGAAGTGCCGCTAGCCGGGAACGAGAACACGAACAAGATAAGAAAGAAGGCGTTTTAGAGAAAGTTGCTTTGGAACTCGAATCGGGTGCTTTCCTTCGACAGATTTTATATGCGGTTGAAAACGAAGGCATTAGTCTCGGCAAAAGAGGCCGTTTCGACCTCAATGAAACCCTAAAAAGTAGCAGAGTGTGGTATCATCTTACAATCCACCCCACTGATGACTCTCCTGCGACCGTCGCCTCCTTACCATCTGTTACCTCGGCGTGGTCTGCTGGAACTGTTTCCCGTCAACTCCGCTCCTGGAGGCTACCCGAATGGGCTAACCGCCGAAACAAACACCTTGATTTCACCGCAGACTTTGACCTGGAAGAGTTCGTCACGCGGTATTCCCGGCTTGGGTGTCAAGAAGGGAAAGATGGTGTGGAAAGCTGGATCCTTGAAAGAGGGTGGAGCAATGGTGATGTTGTCGTCGGCAATGAGAGAGTCTGGATGAGAGAGAGTGCCTGGTGGGAGGCTGAAACAATGCTAGATTTGAAGCCACAGGAAATACTGACGGACCCTTTTAACCCTGTGATGACTCCTTTTGAAAGCGGATATTCTGCCGCCCCTCCACCACCTAGCGGCTTCTTTCAACCAGAGTTAATTGCTAAAGACAGTCGTGAAAACCTCATGAATGGACAAAGCGTTGCAGCGATGTCTCGAGGTGCTTTTGGGGGAGGGGAAACTCGTTCTATTGCACCTACACTTGGCCCCCCTAGCCAAAACTCACCTGGCGACTATGGGCTGGGTGTTAAGGGAGACGACAGAAAACACGACACCCAATATTACGATCAAGAACTTGGTAGATTCATGGGGAATATGGATCCTGAATTTGGTGAGCATAAAAATATCGAGAAAAAGAAAATCCCAATCGGCCGGCGTGTTTGGTCAGGCTTTGCTTGGGCCATGACTTTTTGGATTCCTTCATTTGTCCTTCGTTACCTGGGTCGGATGAAACGGCCAGATGTCCGAATGGCCTGGAGAGAAAAAGTAACTCTGATGACCTTAATTCTTCTTCTAAATGGTCTAGTTGTTTTTTGGATTGTCGGCTTTGGAAATTTGCTCTGTCCCAATAAGGATAGAGTCTGGACTGAAAAGGAAGTCGGTTTCCACCAAGGGGATAATGACTACTATGTCAGTATCCACGGCAGTGTTTATGACATCAGCAAATTTTGGAAAACACCTCATACCTTTTCAAGGGACACATCCAGAACTGCAATGGATCCATTCCGTGGTCAGAATCTTGATGCGTACTTCCCCGTTCCACTTAATGTGGCATGCCGTGGTTTAGGTGCATCGGAAAATATTCAAATTCAACACAATAAAACGGACGCAATTCTATATCCCAATGCTCTCCATACCTCTGGCACCTTCCAAACCGACACCACCCTCAAGCTGCGCGATGCCAACTGGTATGGCGGAGTGTTTTTACCGAGGATCAGGGAGTATTACAAAGGTGATGTAGTCTGGGATCCGGCTGTAATCCGCCAACAAGCAGACCAGGATCAACGAATGTGGGTTATAATCGAAAACGAAGTGTTTGACCTCACCGACTATTTCTACACCTTGAACCGGATGAACAATATTGACCTATACAAGTTTTTGCCGGCGAAAGTTACCGAACTATTCAATAGAAATCCTGGCGAAGACATCACTGACAAATGGGAAGGCACCGTCGAGTTCCAGAACAGCTACTGGTGTTTGAGAAACCAGTTCTACGTCGGTAGAACTGATTTCCGCAAAACACCCAAATGCCTAGTTAACAATTATATCCTCCTTGCGTTCACCTGTCTGCTGGCTGGTGTTATCCTCATCAAGTTCTTTGCTGCCCTCCAGCTTGGTACGAAACGACGACCTGCCATGCAAGATAAGTTCGTTATATGCCAGGTCCCGGCATACACCGAAGGAGAAGATCAACTTCGGAAAGCCCTTGACTCTCTTACGGCTCTCCAGTATGACAACAAACGAAAGCTGATTTGCGTGATCTGTGATGGCATGATTGTTGGAGGAGGTAACGATCGACCAACCCCCAAAATCGTCTTGGATATCCTGGGTGTCGATCCAAAGATCGATCCTCCCGCCCTTCCATTCAAATCTGTTGGCGCTGGAAGCGACCAACTTAATTATGGCAAGGTTTACTCCGGCCTCTACGAATACGAAGGCAATGTTGTGCCGTACATCGTTATCGTCAAGGTCGGTAAGGAGTCAGAGCAAACCAAGTCCAAGCCAGGCAATCGTGGAAAACGAGATTCTCAAATTCTACTTCTCAGCTTCCTGAATCGGGTCCACCATCGTTCAGGAATGTCGCCACTCGAGTTGGAAATGTTCCATCAAATCAATAACATTATCGGAGTTGATCCCGAGCTTTACGAGTATCTTCTCATGGTAGACGCTGACACTAGTGTGAAAGAGGATTCCTTGAACCGACTTGTGGCGAGTTGTGCGAATGATGCTAAGATCGCTGGTATCTGTGGTGAAACTAGCTTAGAGAATGAAGAGCGCAGTTGGTGGACTATGATTCAAGTCTACGAGTACTATATTTCCCACCACCTGTCTAAAGCTTTCGAATCTCTTTTTGGCAGTGTTACCTGTCTACCCGGATGGTATGATTGATAATTTGCCTTCCCCTTGCCTGTTGATGTCCATTAGCTAACTTCTTTTTGTAGTTTCTGCATGTATCGCCTCCGCACTGCTGATAAAGGTCGTCCATTGATCATTTCGGACAAGGTTCTCAGTGAATATTCTGACATTGAAATCGACACTTTGCATAAAAAGAATCTCCTGTCCCTCGGAGAGGATCGATATCTCACAACACTCATGACCAAGCATTTCCCACACATGAGCTACAAATTCATTCCAGATGCATATGCCAACACTGCAGCTCCAGAAACATGGTCCGTTTTGCTATCCCAGAGGCGTCGCTGGATCAACTCGACAATCCACAACCTGGCGGAATTGATGTTCCTGCCTGACCTATGCGGTTTCTGCTGCTTCAGTATGAGGTTTATTGTGTTTATTGATCTTTTCGGAACGATTATCCTTCCCGCAACCTGCGCCTACCTGGTCTATATCATCTACCTTGCTGCTACCAACAAGGGACAATTTCCGATTATTTCAATCGCGATCATTGCTGGTGTGTACGGTTTGCAGGCAGTTATCTTTATCGTCAAACGCCAGTGGCAACATATTGGATGGATGATAATATACATCATGGCGTTCCCTATTTACAGTTTCATACTTCCGCTCTACTCCTTCTGGAATCAAGACAATTTCACTTGGGGAAATACCCGTATTGTCCTTGGTGAGAAGGGAGATAAACGTGTGATTGCAGTGGAGGATGAAGCTTTCGACCCAAGAAGCATTCCTCTACAACGCTGGGATGACTACGCTTTGGCCAACAACCTTCCAGGCCGTCGGGGCGGTCCTCCATCTGGACACGAAAAGATTTACCCGCCGGTTTATGGTGATGAGACTGCTATGGAGATGGACGATATGCACTCAACCTATTCTTCAGTGAGGCCCGCATCGACCATTCTTACCGGCTTCCCTACTCAAGGACCACACGGACCATTCATGACCCCACATTCCGCGAGTCCCTTCGGAAACGCTCCCGGCAATAGAAACTCCCACTTTTCATCCTTTACGCGGTACACTGACCAGCCACTTGGTAACCGCAGTCAAGCTCATTTGTCCATGGGCAATCTGAGCGCTTACCACGATAATAATGCAAGCGCAAACCGACTAAGTAGCTTTGGAGCTATGGGAACGGAGAGCCATCTCGGGTTTCCACAGCGGCAAAGCATGCGCAGCCCATTAGGAATGGGAGCTAGGCCGGTAAGCACTGTGGTGGATTTCAGATCTGCACCTGGTTCGGGGCCGGATGAGGCCACTATTACGGAGGCTGTCCAGAATTGCCTGGCTGAGGTGGATTTGGATACTGTTACTAAGAAGCAAGGTATGTAGTTGCATACGCCTCAAATTTTTTTTTTTTTTCTTTTCTGTTTAATCTAAACTAACGATTGGTTTTTACAGTTCGTGCACTCGTTGAGCAGCGATTGCAGACGACGTTGACCAGTGAAAAGAAGGCATTCTTGGATCGCCAGATTGATACTGAACTTGCAAATATGTAAAAGGTGATAAAGAAGCAAACGGACTATATTTCTTTTCGGAGGATTAATGGTAGCGAAACTAAACTGCAAAAGTGACAGCATTTGATGATTTAGCTCTTTTGATTCGGGAATTTGATTTTCAAAATATTGGATCAAATTTTGATGTTTTCTGTGGTGGTACATTTCTGTTCATCTCCTGTACCTTTTTACATTTCCCCTTCTCTCTGTTATCACTCTTCACTTTAGTAATCTGGGTATCATTTGTGTTGATCTTTCTCATTTCCTTTCTCTTATTTTGTTTTTTTGTGACAACCCGATTTTTGTTTCACTATCTGTGCTCGTCTGGCTTGGTGTGTTTTCTTGCCTAGCATATTGTTGTTATTGCTGCTATTGCTGCTGTTGCTGCTGTTGCTGTTGTTTCAGGGGTTGGAGGAGGAAAGACTACCATTGATGCGCGATGAATACCTTTATCCCTGCTCATTCTTACATAGATACTAACTAATATCCACATAATCAATCTCTGCATCATGTTTGTATCTGAATGTTTATGCCTTGGCCATTGGGTCCTTTGTGTGTGTGTGTGTGTGTGTGTGTGTGCCTGCTTTCGACACCGTGCTCGCTATGTGTTCTCATTATTGGGTTCTTCTATTTTACTGTTGATTAAGTTTTTGAAGATTTGAAAAGAGTATGTTTCTCTTCTGGCTTTATTTCCCTTCTACCCCCTTCTTTTCCTTTTTCTATTTTGAATCCCTTAGCAGGTGAACAAGCAATTCATCAGCCTCCTTGTTACTGTTTTAAATTCATATCCTCTTATGTGCATATATATATTTTTAGAAGAGAAAAACATCCATGGATAATACATATTCACCTAAAGCATTTTATGTCTCGAGGGGTTTCTACGAAAACGCTATTGTTAAAACATGAGGGCGAGATTGATTCTCTGTCCCCAGGCAGCTCTGAAGTGTAAACAACAACATGGATCTAAAACAAATGGAGCAAGGGGAAAAAGACTTATTATAGAACTGACGCCTTGCAGCTGGAAAACAAATGGAATCATTTTCTGTTATTCTTGACTAAATGCGGACGTGGAAACCGGAGACTCCGTGACTAATAACAAACACACACGGGGATACACTCTCTCCCATTCCATGCAACTCTAGCAAGGGAAACCTTGATTCATCTCCAAGGTGGATTTCGGATATTGGAAGCTACGCACGTCCGTATAGTTGAGTTATATCTGCGAATCTGAAGGCCTGATTTTTTGTGTGAAAAGTCGAAATTCTGAATATTGGCAATCATTCATTATATAGAGCTAATAATAACTATGCGAGGGGCAGAAACCCTGCTTGAGACGATGAAGCTGGAAAAATCTCCGGATGGTCCTCCCCTCAAGGAGGCTTTATTTGGAAACTCTATCTATCTCTCCTTCGTCTGGAGGTGAGAAACAGACAGAGTACTCTTTCTGCCAGGCCATTTAAGATCTCTTATTTGGGCCCTGATTGCCGATCTGGGCAGCGCATTGGTCCAATAGGGCGGTGGTAAGAAGTACGCCAGAGGTGCTGACATTGGACTTGTGGTTCTTTCAAAACTTGCAACTGGCGCATCAATTGAGTATCAAGAGACGAGTGGTGGATTTGATCATTGCTTAATATCTTGATAATCGACTATGTCGAGCAGTTACACCTCGGAAGAAACATACCTTGCTTGCTTACTTTGCTCAGCCCTGGCAGGCTGGCGACATGAATCGTGTCGTCAAAAGCACGGTCAGTCGGGGGGTACCCGAGCTAATTCCCCCTAGGCAAACCAATGGATGCCGTCATGTTTGCACTCAGAGCTGGATTAGATTAGAGCAACCTCAAATCTCGATCTGACATGTTACTAAAGCCAACAGCCTCCTAACTAACCACTTGACTTTTAGTCCGTTGTGACAGTTTTGCCTCCTCAAGCTGGGGGCCTTGCGATCAAGACACACACCGCGATAGTGAGCAGTTCTATTGCAAGGATGAGAGCAGTCTGCCAAAGGACTAGTCTAACTAAGGCTAAGCCGAAACTGCAACCTCCCGTCATCGCCTGTTGAAAGGTACAGAAGTTCCAGACGCGATTTCGAGCGAGCGACTGTTTAGGATTTTGTGGGTCCCAGTTTTGAACTGGACCAGGGGTCCAGTATCGTTTGCTGTGTTGTTGCCCTACACTTGCCGTTGGTCTGTCTGCGTAGGGGCAGCTGTCCTCGAACTTCGGAGGTTAGTTATCAGATGTTATCATATCTGGACATCGAAATCAAGGGAACGGGGCGTTGAGTGGACTATGTATGGCTGGTGATTGGTTGACAAATTTAGAGCCTTGAACAGATTCCTGACCCTGGCAGTCATCAGTTTGGTCTGTCTGCTGGTTAATCCTGTTTTGGAAAACATTGAGTGGATATGCGCAAGTGTAAACAGCACCTCCGGATTTCCTTCGCTGGACTTCCGTTTCATTAGAGATTTCCATAAAATTCTCCTCCCTCTTTCACGTTTCAGAGGCTTTGTGGATTCCTGGCAGAGTCACCTCCGATGATGGGGGAATATGTGCGGGAATCTGGCTCGAACCCCCCATGACGCTTTCTGGTGATCCTTATTTTTGATGGGAATGTAGAATTCGCCATGGACGTGGGTGGGGACTTGATGCTCCCCAGAAATTGATATCAGGGAATTTTTAATATTTGCTCTGTTCAACTGAGAGGATTCCAGATCTGCTGTTCTGGACGAGCCCGTTCAACCCGGTTGGGCCGTGTCGCACGAGATATTTGCCATCCTGGACTTCAAAGCTGGTGGATGATGTTGTAATGAGAGGAGGGGCGGGGGAGGCGGAAAGGTCACAGGCATGGATGTCAGTGGGGTGGTGAACATTAGCATAGCAATAATGGATGTCAGAGTTGGTTATCTATCCTGTTATGTCCTTGTCCATGTTCATAGTTGCGTGGATGACCCTCAGGAGCAAACACTCAGGAACATGCAATATCGAAATGACGCTGACAGAAATGGAATGCATGATTTGTTGCTATATACAAACATGCTATTTATATAATATATATATATATGCGCGAGGCGTCAGATGCTAAGAAATAAAAGTGACGAAAACAAGCAAAGGCCGCAGATATCGCAGACATCGCAGACACACGAGGAAAAAGGGGGTTTCCGAACGGAGGCGGCTGAGGGCTGAACGGCGCCATGTACTTTACCTAGTCAGTCAGACTGCTGAGTGACCCAGCCAATCCAACAGCAAAAACCCTTTTTTACTCCGGATCCATGTCTCAGCCCAATCAACCCCGCAACGCACCGTGCTCAAGCCTCAGGGTATCGAACAAAATTGGGAAATGTGGGAATGGAAAACAGCTTCGCTGCATGCAAACTAGGTACATGAGAAATTAAAATAAATAAATAAATAAATAAAAAGTAAAAATAAAGAATAAATAATAAAAAAGAAGCAAGAATTGCCTGGCCTGGAAGCACAGGGGTAAATAAATATATGAAAACGGCTTCCATCCCAGCGTTCACCTCATATCATTCAAAGCTGGAAGAAAAGCTCTAGATTGCGAGAACCCTCTTATTTGACGCCATTGTATATTAGTTTCTTGGTGGTGCCGCTCGGAACGCCTCGAACAACAGCGCTGGAAAGAGCCTTCATGCGCTCGCAAACAGCATTTCCGCTAATGCCCTCAAGGCCGATGAGATAAGCACCAAGACCGGCGGCATGGGGTGAGGCCATAGAGGTTCCAGACATGGATTTGGTACCACCACCAATATAGGTGGATTGAATATTGACGCCCGGAGCAAAGACATCAACTGTGCGCGGTTTCAGATATAGTTATACATATATATATATATTAGCCCTCTAAACAGAAAATTTGATATTCGATGCCAGGTCGTAAAGCTTACCGAGTTTGCCCCGGTTGGAGAAACTGGCGATGAGGTCGCTGGAATTTGAGGCGCCAATAGTGCAAGCGGTTACCTCGGAAGCGGGAGAATATTTGGAAGCATCAGCCTAAAAAACTTTCGTTAGTATGTTAATTTCAGAGAGCCAGCGGTATATTTTGGCACTTACAGCATCGTTACCAGCAGCCACGGCAAGGAAGATACCAGCTTTGACAATGGCGGCAGCAGCCTGGTTGGTAGCCTGGGAATAGCCACCACCCAAGCTCATATTCACGACCGCTTTCTTGGTGATCCCGTTTTGAGTGGCATGGTTGAGAGCCCACTGCATGCCCTGGATGACAACAGAGTTAGAGCCGCTACCCTGGCAGTTAAGCACCTTAACAGCGATAAGGTTGGCCTTTTTGGCAACACCGTAGGTGGTACCAGCAACGGTTCCAGCAACGTGAGTGCCGTGGCCGTGGCAGTCGGTGTTCTGCGAGTCGACAGTGTTGGTTCCCCATTTCGCGCGACCACCAAAGTCCCGGTGGCTCGTTTCAATCCCAGTGTCGATAATGTAAGCGGTGACTCCTTGACCAGCGGTCGAGTCATAGATGTAGTTTTTGGCCCCAGGGGTTCGCGAGGAAACGCGAGCAAGTCCCCAGGGAGCGCCGGTCTGAGTAATGAGAGAATTGGCGGTCACAATGCCATCCTCTTCGATGTAGTCGACCTGGAAAACATAGTTTTTTCAAAGTCAGAGTTTGAAGGTGAGAGTGGACGAGAGGGATTTCTATGGGGTTTTTTTTCACACGTCTTCATCATTGGCAATCTGGCTGAGGGTTTCGCTATCGAAGACCCCAGAGTATCCCTTCCAGCCGCTGTTGAACTGGAAAGATCTGAGGGCCTTTGGAGCTTTGATGCCCTTTCGGTTCTTTCGCATGTTACCGACCCATTTCCGGTGGCGCTCAAATTTCTCGGGTGAGGTTCTGGCTTTCATCACAACAATGTATCCATTGGGAACAACCTGGATACCAGCAGGGGCCTTGTTGACCGGTGCCGCATCAACGACAGACAGCGCCGCCAGGGCAAAAGGGAGAATGTAGTCGAAGAACAGCATTGTGAGGAAGAGCTGAG